TGCTGCACCATACCCTCGACAATAGAGCGCTCCCCAAAGTGCGTTCGCTTTGTCGCGTCGTCGGCTACTTGGAAAACAAATACGACCAGCGATCGTGGGGAGACGTTCATATGTCTTCCGAGATCATTGATCGCATGCAGCGACGCTTGGGAGAACCGAACACCCTTGGAGAGCAGGTGCAACGAGAGAGGTGGAGTCGCAGAAGCACACTTCTGCAACGGATTTCGGCCACCACCCTGACCAATTTCCCGAAACTGATTCGAGATCACTTACTTCTATTGACCTCGGGGGCCCATATCAAATCGATCTTGCTCAATCATACTTAGCGGAATTGATGGAAGCCGACACCAACAACGTCTCCATGATGTTCGTAAAAGAAACACCGAACATCGTCCGTTTAGAAATCAGGTCGCGACATGTGAACGCAAAAACTTACCGAGTCTACATCGATTACGAACCGAAAATGGACCAGGTTGAAGGAATTTGGAGATATTGGTGTGAGTGCTCGATTGGGAAGCGGACAGTAGGCTGCTGCTCGCATGTGGCCGCTGCGATCTTCTACTTGGCCCATGCTCGGTACCTCCCGCAGATTCTGCGCCCGGCTGCACAGTTAACGGAGCTCTTCGTGCCATCCGGAGGAGAAACAGAAGTAGAAGGGAGTGACAGCGAGGCTTGAATATCTAAAATAAACGATACCTCTGTGATTCTGTCGAATGCACTGAAATGTGTTTTTTTTAGTTCGTGAATGTGTTTTCCGATCCGAATCAAGTCACGAGTGCTTCCAGAGCGGCTTTCTCGTGCTTATATTGTGGTTGGTGTGCGAAATGTGTAAAATCGGGTGCGACAAACAAGGGTTTTTTCGAAATTGAAGTATCGGGCTCCCAATGGATTTTCGATTGGGGTATCGCATTTTGTTCGCCTCCAAGGGGGACACAAATTGAGTGTGTAGCTAGAGTACCAATACTTTGTACGCTCATCAGAAAGTATGTTTCTCCAGCTTTCCAAAGAACACTCGATCAGCTCTGTAGCCCTAAACGCGGCTGAGATATGAGCATTTCAAGTCGCCGTATGTCCGACGTACTCCCGGTCGGAAGACATTTCCGCCTCTTTTTGGAGCGACGACGGCGATTTGAAACGCCAAACATGGGTACGCGTGGTCTACTCGAAGCGAGCTACACAATCCATATGGTTTTTTTTTTTTCAATTTTTTTTTTCCGGGGCCAAAAAGTGTATCTTATGCGCCGAAACCCTTTTAAAGAATTATCAAGAGAAGTGAAATAAATGTGTTTAATTTTTAATATTTAAATTCAATAGACTGGCCCTATGTGGAAAGAGTCAAACAGTGTTATGTATGCTGGAAATACGGACATACTCAGAGGTTTTGCAAAGTGAGGAGGGCGCTTTGTGGTAGATGTGGAGAGGAGAAGCATGGCGTGTGTGAAAAGGTAGAGAGATGCATAAACTGCAAGGGAAGTCATGCAGCGTTTGCGAGGTGCTGCTGGGCATACCAGAAGGAGTTCGCCATAAAAAAGGTTATGGCATATAAAAATGTGGCGTTTGAAACGGCAAGAGTAATATTCGAGAGAGCGGCAGGGATAAAGGGATTGAAGGCGGATATTGAGGATTGGAATGGTTACGAGAGTAAGGAGTTCCCGAGATTGGAGAAAAAGAAGGTAATAGAAACCTGGGAAGGAAAAGAAGTGCCGATGTGGGAGGAAGTGGAGACAGTCAGAAGAGTATTTGCGAAAGCAAGGGGTATGAAGTTAAAAGAGAGAGTGGGGGAGAGTAGCAGTAATAAGGAGGAAGATGTGAATAAGGGTGCTATTGGAGGCGCAAATTGGGCGGAAGTGGTACGCGGGGGAAGGAGAAGGGGGAGCGAAAGGGAGGATGAGGAGTTCAGACAGCCGAAAGAGAAAATGAAGAACAGGAAAGTTTTGAGACAAAGAACAGGTTCGATAAACTGACTGAGGAAGAGGAGGGAAGGAGGATTGTAAAAGGGAGTAAGAACGTGACGGGAGGTTTGACGATCAGGAGAAGATATCCTTTCCCCTACGACCTGGTGGGCGAAGAACCGGAGGGGGAGGCGGAATATCAAGAGTATAAGTTGGTAGTGGAGAAGAGGAAGGAAAATGAAATATTCTTGAGGTGGGAAATTCTTGAGTTGGCAAACGTGGTGACTACAGCGCCACTTGAAGTGAAACGGAAGCGTGGAGAGGTAGAAAAAGACGTAAAAGACGCGGAGAAGGACGGTCATTTTTATTTCGAACACGTAGGTGAGAACATCGAAGTAGCTAGCGTAAAAGGAAAAAACGAAGTGCGAGAAAGAGAGGACAGAGACGAAAGTGGAAAGGACGAGTGCATAGAGAGCAAGGACTCAAGTAGAAGTAAGAAATTAGATAACATAAGGGAGGATGTAGAAAATAAGGGAAAAGTACAATCGAACAAAGACTCAAACAACAACAATAGTAATAGGAATAGTAGTAATAGTGTAGAATATAAGGAAAAAAATCAACAAAGGGGTAGATAAAAGGAAATAAAAGGGTATGAAACGGGGGAAAATAAGAAAAAGGAATGGGCAGTTGAACTGTATGAGGAGGACGCCACGTGGGAAGAATATGTGGTGTGTTGCGTATTAAGAACGGGGAGGAGGAACAGAACGAAGAGAAATAATTTAATAAAAATCTATAGATTTGTACAGGGGGCGGGAGTGAATATTAAGACTAGAATGGTTGGTTTTATCCGAGCTGAGGTGACGACGAGGAGTAGAGAAGAAGCCAACAACTTGTTGAGGAGATCCAGCGGTAAAGAGGAGAAATTGTCCACCTTCCTCTCCAGAAGGATGAAATACAGGAGGGGCGTAATCTTTGAGTGGGAAGACTCCGTAGAGGAGTTGAAGAAGGAGGCAATCCCTGGACAAGGGAGCTTTGTGCTGGAGCGGATGAAGAAGAAGAGAATTGTGGACGGGAAAGTAGTGTTTGAACCTTTGAGCTCCATAATGATTATATTTAGGGGGGCGTATTTTGTCTACGAGGTTGCTAATCGGACAGGAGCACGTAGGGATTAAAATAGAACCCTTTATGGAGCCGGTAAAGCAGTGCTTTAGGTGCCTAAAATTCGGACACATTCAGGCAGCATGCAGAGAACAGGTGAGGAGATGTGCGGTCTGCGGTGAAAACGAACATGGGCAATGCGAAAAGAGCCCCAAGTGCGTGAATTGCGGAGGTGAGCACGGCTCTCTAGCCAGATTATGTTGGGTATGGCAGAGAGAGGCGGCGATAAGAAAGGTAATGGCATACCGCAACGTAGAGTTTGACACTGCAAGAGGAATTGTCGCCAGATCACTGATATAAGGGCGTTATAAGAGATTGGCCGGGGACTATGGAGGAACTGAAAGACGAGGCGATGCCTGGACAGGGGCAGTTCGTATTGAAAAAACTTAGAAGAGGACCGAGAGAAGAGGGAAGAAGAGGAAGAGGAAGAGCCTTTATTGATTGTGTTTAGAGGTGATAAGCTGCCAACGTCGTTATTAATAGGTCAAGGGCATGTGGGTGTTAAGATTTGGCCCTATATTGAAAAAGTGAAGCAATGCTATGTCTGTTGGAAGTATGGTCACACGCAAAGATTTTGTAAAGTTAGGAAACCTTTATGCGGTAGGTGTGGTGATGAGAGGCATGGTGTGTTCGAGAGTCTAGCGAAGTGCGTTAATTGTAAAGGGGATCATGCGGTGTTTTCGAAAGACTGCTGGATTTATCACAAAGAGTTCGCGATTAAAAAGATAATGGCGTATAAAAATGTGGCGTTCGAGACAGCGAGGAACATAATAGAAAGGGCAGCAGGGATTGAGGGGTTGAGGTTAGAGGGGGATGATGATGGTGAGTTTGAGAGTAGGGAATTTCCGAAATTAACCAGGAAAAAAGTTGTGGAAATGTGGGAAAGTAAGGAGGTTCCAATTCATGAGGAGGTGAAAGTGATCAGAAAGGGATTTGCGAGGTCAAGAGGAATTAAATTAAAGGAGAGACATGTAGGAGGTGAAAGAAGAGAGAGGAGAGAGGAAGAGGGGAAGAGCCAGGAGAAGGATAGAGATGGAGATCAGGAGGTATGGGCAGATGTAGTGAGAGGAGGAAGAAGAAGGGAAGATGGCAAGAAGATGTGTCATTTGTAGAGATAGAAACCACGGACAATGCAAAAAGAAACCTAAGTGCGTCAACTGTGGGGGCGAGCACGGATCCTTAGCACGCATGTGCTGGGTTTGGCAAAGAGAGGCAGCCATAAAGAAAGTTATAGCATACAAAAACGTCGAATTTGAAACGGCCAGCCGTAGCCAGATCTACGGGAGATTTTGAAATGGACAGAACGGGAGGAATCGAGGAGTTCGCAGGGAGTAGTGGTGATTTTCCTGCTTTAGCGGTAAGAGAAAGGAGAGAAACGTGGGAGAAAAAAGAAGTATCAATTCAAAAAGAGGTGGAATTAATCAGAAGACTTAGACAGGACAGGAATGGTAGGAGAAGTGGTAGTGGAGAACAAGGAGAAGGCAGAAAGGCTACTTTTAGCGAACTCGCAAGAAGAAGCCCGGAAGAGAGGAAAGGTGAGGAGGAGGAAAATTGGGGACAAGTAGCGAGTGGAGGAGGAGAGAAAAAAGGTATGAAGGACAGAGAGGGAGAAGGCTGGAAACAAGTAGGAAGAGGTTTGAGGCCTGCGTGCCACAATGAAGAAACAGACGGATTAGTGACGGGAAATAGGTATCTCTGCCTAGAATGCAAGGAGAAGACTGAAATGAAAGAAAAGGAAGGAAAAATACAGATATTGAAGAGAATACCGTTACCACATGTAATGGTAGGAGAAGAGCCGGAAGGGGAATGTGAATATGAGAGGTTGGAATGGGCGCTAAATAAAGACGAGATGGAGAAGGAGAGGAGAAGGGTGAAGAAAGAAAAACAAATGAACAGTTAGTGGAGTTAGAGAAGAGGAAGGAAGACGAGATATTGAAGGAAGTGATCAAAATGCTGAAGGAGAAAAATCTTGAAGAGAAATTTCATGACATAATAAGAACCAGAAAATATAGAGAGAAGAGGATGGTGAGGCCCGACCCTAAAGAGGATTGGAACGCGGTTACTACACCCCCTTTTGAGTTGGAGATAGATCAGAGGACAAAGGACAGATTACGAAGGAGGGCTGGAAAAGAGAGGGCGGAGTTAAGAAAGAGGAAAGAGGAAGAGGAGATTGAGGAGGTAATTCGTAGGGAAGGCTGGAAGAGGATAAGAGAGAGGAAACAGAAGACACGAGAAGAAAGGTCAGCCCCTGGTGAGGACGGAAGTGGGTATGATGTGATGAAATTATGGACGAGAGGATGGAAGGAAGCGATCCTGATAATTTATAATGAGGTATGGAACAAGGAAGAAGTCCCAAAATGTTGAAAAAAGGCAATAGTAAAATTTATTCCTAAGCCGCAAAAAAGAGCTCTGCGACCAATATCGCTAATGAATTGTCTGGGAAAAACGCTGGAAAGAATGGTAAATGAAAGAATGAGAGTGTGGGCAGAGGAAGAAAATAGGATGAACATTAATCAAAATGGTTTTAGGACGTGGAGGTCGACTATGGATAATATCAGTATTCTGGTCAATGGAATCAGGGAAAACTGGGGAAAAGGAAGGAAGGTGATGGCTGCTTTTATTGATGTCAAATCGGCGTATGACAATGTCAAACACGATGGGATGATACGAGGGCTGAAGGAGATGGGGTGCCCGACGAAGATGTCGAGATATATTGAGTCATGGTTGAACGAAAGGAAGATTGAGATAAGGATGGTGGACGGAAATGCAGTAAGGATGAAACTACAGAAGGGGCTACCACAGGGATCAGTTTTGAGTCTTCTGTTATATAATTTGTACACGGTGGGAATCGTGGAGAGGCTGAGAGAGATGGGGGTTGGGATACTTCAATATGCAGATGATATTGTGGTGCTTGTAGAATTCGAGGATAGGAGGGAAGGGAAAAGCAAAATAGAAGAGGCGATAAGTAGATTGAAGGGGAATCTAGGAAAGATAGGACTAGCAATAGCAGCGGAAAAAACGCAGATAGTGAAATTTGACAATAACAAGAGGAGGGGAAGATTAATTAAAGAGGAATTCAATGTAGAGGGAGAGAAGATAGAGGAAGTGGATTCAGCAAAATTTTTGGGAATTGATAGGGCGTTGGAGTTCGGGAAGCATACGGACTATGTTGTGACAAAGTTAAAAAGGAGAATGAATGTATTAACCGTTTGAGTCCCAAGGGATATTGAAAAAACACTGTCGAAGAATCCCAAACAGCGCAACGGCGCTTTCTCTAAATGAGTACGAAAAGACCCAAGCAGCGCGATAGCGCTTGTTTTATTTTGTGTCGAGAAATACCAAGTGGCGCGATCGCGCTTTGTTTATTTTACATCGATGAATCCGAAACGGAGCAATAACGCCTCTTGTTGTGTTAGGTCATGTAATTCTCATCGTTTTCTCATCGCTCCGTTACATTCATTGCAGCTTGCAAAGTGATCGGACGTATTCTTGCGTAAGTGCTTCTCATTGTTAATAATTGTGTGTTTCAAAATGATTAGACGAAGCAACGCAAAAAGTAAGTAAAAAATTAATCTAAATTTACTGTTTAATTTTTCTAAATGTGGTGTATCCCCAAAAAGGTACAATGAGTCGAAAAGGAAAATCTATGAGCATAATCACAAATCCATGTGATCATATTATTGACAACGAGGATGACTACATTGTTCCTGTAAACCGCAACAGAAAACGCATTCTGAGTACTTCAGAGGATAGTACTGGCTGGGGTAATTCCCTGGCCACATCAGGCCGAGGTGGAGGCAGCGGTGTACAGATACCGCTGCACCCTCCGAGAGGAGGGCATAGTAGAGGGTGCCCAGCCAGGACCCAGCGTCGAAGAGGTGCGGCTCCAGGCCCGACGCGCTGCTGTCTCCCGCTGGAAGGACGAGTTGTCCTCCAGCGGGGCCGTGGGGAAGCGCGCTGTCGGGGCGGTCCATCCGCGACTGGAGCAGTGGATGGACCGCGGCCACGGGAGGCTTTCGTTCCGGATCACGCAGGTGCTCACCGGGCATGGTTGCTTCGGGGAGTACCTGTGCCGGATCGGTAGGCAACGATCACCGGATTGTTACGAGTGTGGCGCTGGGCGCGATGACGCCCAGCATGTTTTGAGTGGGTGCCCTGCATTTGCGTGGCAGCGGCACCAACTGGCGTGTGAGCTTGAATGTGATCTCGAGTGTTTGAGTGAAGTGGTTGAGCGCATGCTAAAAAGTGATGAGGGATGGAAGGCCGTCGCCTCCTTCTGCGAGAAAGTGATCTCGCGGAAGGAGGAGGCGGAGCGTGAAAGAGAGAGGCGTGGTGTGATTGTGTTGAGGAGAGGGAGACGAGGGCGACCCGCTTCTCGGGCGCCTTCTTGAGGGTAGTGGGCGGCGCGGCTTCTCCGCGTCGCCGGTGTGAATGGTGAGTGAGTGTGTGTGCGTGTGTGTGTATGTGTGTGTGAATGTGTAATTGGAGAGGTGTGGTGGGATGGGGGTCACGCCGCCCTCCCCGGCGTTGGTCCTCATCCCCTTGTGTGAGTGTCGGCGGTTCTCGGTCCGGGGTGTCGGAGTTCCCGGGATTGACCGAGGATTTGGACAAATGTTACCGTTTTAGAGATGAAGGCATTTATAGCAGTGATTTTGGAAATGGGAATTACGAGAAAACCCACTATACGTTCGTATTGGTCCCAAAATTCGCGTAACGTACCGTGGTTTCGAAGAATGTTTTCTCGAAACAGATTTCAACAAATTTTGAAATATTTTCATTTAATTGACAACTCTTTATGTTTTCCACCTGCTCACGATAAATACGATCCCTGTGCAAAATTTAAGCCACTTGTTGAGCACGCTAACAAAGTATTCAAATTACATTATAAACCACACAAAGAATTATCAATCGACGAGTCGTTGGTTGGGACGCTATGTCATTCTAGCATAACGCAATACCTGCCCAATAAAAAACACCATCGTTGGGGAATAAAATTCTGGATGCTGTGTGATTCCATTTCAAAATATTGTTTGGCGTTCTCTTGCTATAAAGGTGCAAAAGAGGCAACTACTACTGATAGAAAAAAGTTCGGACTTGGATATGACGTTGTGGTAAATTTATTAAAAGATAGTAATTGTTTGAATAAGGGGCATCACATTTTTGTCGACAATTTTTTTACTAGAGTAGAATTAGCTACATACAGTGTTCATTCTATATAAGCAAAAATGTCCTTTCCAATATAAGCAAAAATGTGTTATCCCCACCACTAGGGGGAAGACCCCTCGAGACGCCCGAGGTTCGCTCGCCGGGAAATGTAACGTGACCCGGGTATTAGTGAATCCGTGAGACAATACCAATGCAAATATAAAACTTTTTTATTTTTGACTTTTTCGTTATCAAACTTTCACCAATTAATTCTTGACATTTTTCCGATTAAAATGAGACCAAACACGATATAATTTGGACTATTTTTACTGGTTTCATTGACGATAAAAGTTTCTAACGCAGAGGAGGATAGCGAGTGAAGAAGAAAGTCTGTTCTGAAAGATCAAAAGTCTGTTCAATTGTTTGCAATGTTTAAGCATTGCTAATTTTTTTATTTTTCACCCATTTTTTTATATAACTTTCTCCATTATATTCGTGACATTTTCCTGACTAAAATGAGATCAAACACGACATAATTTAAGTTATATTTACTTTCAATATCTTATTAGAGTAAAGTCATCGATGTACAAGGTAACACTTGAAATTACGAGTAAATAGGGCCCGAAGTATGTCGTGTTTGGTCTCATTTTAATGAGAAAAATATTAAACATAACGAGAAATGCAAGAGCGTACGCAGCGTATGTATTTAGTGGCGCCACTAGGTGGCTTTATTATATATTTTGCTTGCAGTTATTATAGTACCTTTCCTTTCCATCTGCTCCTCAAATATGAAAATATGTATATAATGTAATCTTATGCAACCTATACATTCATATTTCACAACCAAATTATAAAAATTTTTGAAAAATAATGAGGGGTGATTGAGGTACCCTATTTTATTGAAACTTGTACTTTACTGAGACTAAAATTGCCGCGCATGCGCGCAAAAACCGGTCCAATATCTCATCACTGCTTTGAGAGAAATCGTGAGATAAAGACGTGCGAGATATATAATTCGAGAGATTCCATTTGTGTTGTGTTTAATTAATTATAACTATTCATTCTTTGTTAATAAATTTCATTAACCTTTCTAATTATTAAATATTATTCTACACATATAATGGAAAAAATTTCAAAAAAAAAAAATCGAAAATAAAAAAGTTTTATTCTTGCATTAGGAGTGTCCTTCTAGTAAGTCACTGTTTACGTTCGGTCTCCTTCGCTCGAAATGTAGTACCTTTACGATATACGCAAACGGCGACCGTGTTATTTTTCTCTTCTGTCCTTTTCTACGTTCGGCAAAACATCAATCAATGTAGGATCTATACGATATACGCAAAACCTCAGACCCGAAAAATTTGCGTATATAGAATACCCACTGTAATAAGAAGTGTAGAAAGAGTCAGCCATTGTGACAAAGTGGTTGTAAAAGGAAGGAGCTACGCAGTAAATGAAAGTACGGAGGAAGACAAGTGCGAGAACAAGGGAGACTTGATAAGTGATATAGATATTAAGGAATTGAACAATAATAATAATATAATAACCGATAAAGATAATTTTAACGTAAACATAGAGGAAAATGGGCGGAAAAAAACCGGTCAATAGAGAGGAAGTAGAGAGACATTGATAAGCACGTGGAGAAGGAATATAGAAAGGAAGGTTGTAATTAGGGGGGAAAATGAAAGGAGGGACAGAGAATGGAAGGTTGAATTGTACGAGGAAGAAGCGAAATGGGAGGAGTATATTGTGTACGTGGTTCTAAGAAATAAAAATAAGAATAGGAATAGAACCAAAAGGAATAATCTAGTAAAGTTATATAGGCTAGTGCAGGGAGCAGGGGTAAAGATTAAGACTATAAGAATGGTTGGTTACAGCAGGGCGGAGGTGTCGACGAGGAGCAGAGAGGAAGCGAACGGGCTACTGAAGAAGTACGGAAGCAGAGAAGGTGTAGTTTCAGCGTATTTGCCTAGGAGAATGATGTACAGAAAAGGGGTAATACATGAATGGGAAGACTCGGTGGAGGAGTTACGAGATGAGGCGATGCCCGGCCAGGGCCAGTACGCGTTGGAAAGAATGAAGAGGAGAAGAATAATAGATGGGAAGGTGGTCTATCAGCCGTTGAGGTCCATTTTAATTACCTTTAAAGGAAGCATACTGCCAACAATTCTTTTAATAGGGCAAGGACATATAGGAATAAAAATAGAACCGTATGTAGAACCCGTTAGGCAATGCTATAAATGTTTAAGATTTGGGCACTTTCAAGCGAAATGTAGAAAAACGGAGAGATTATGTGTGGTGTGCGAGGAAAAAAGCCATGGACAGTGTGAAAGAAAACCAAAATGTGTCAACTGTGGGGAGGACGGAAAAAATGGCGTCGGTTAGGTAGGACGGGTTTTGCCGAGCGCTGATAATTTAGAAGTTTTTTTTGGATTTAAAGTTTTTTATTAGTTATATAAGGCATAGAGAAAGGAGTGGAGGAAGGGGTGAGGTTCTGTATAATTAGGTTTGGAATAGGAAGTTGGGAGAGGAGGAATTTTGAGGTTTATCCTCTCCACCGTATACCCACGTGGTAGGCGGGGGATAAAGTTTTGTTGTGCGCGACTGGACGCTAAATAACAAGTGTGTAAGTGAGGGGGAGGTTGTAATTAATATATTTGGTGGCCCTAGAGGCGGATGAAATATTATGATGGAAGAAACGGAAGTAGATAATGGTGAGGATAAAATGTGCGAAAACGAAGAAAAGATGCCAAAGGAAGTTTGTGATATAAAAGTTATGTGTGAGGGAAGTGAAAAAGTGATGACAGAGGATGTAGAGAAACTGGAGAACTGGGATATGGAATTTTTAAAAGAGGATGAAGAGGAGGTATTAGTAACACTGGGTATGTGCAATAAGAAACTTGAGGAAATGGACAGAGAGGAAGTAGAAGATTGTGTGAGGGAGAAAGATAGAGACTTAGACGAAGAAAATAAGGAAAGGAAATTGACAAGGAGAAATATAGGAGAAAGGAAGAGGGTGAGAGATGCAAGTAGTGGGGAAGAAGAGTTGAGGAAAAGGGAGAAAAAGGAGT